ATACTTAATACATGTGTACTATTGTTGTTAACTCCCCTTAGAGGCAGCACAAAATGTGAAAGTTGGAGTCCAGCAGAGCAGCTTCCAGGCCAGGCTCTGGAAGGGAATCCGTTGCAGGTTTTCTTTCTGCAGAGAGGCCCTACCAGGAAGGCACATGCTGAGCGGAGACTGAGAAAGAAAGCAGGAAGATTAGGACAGGAGAGGTCAGACAGTAAATCTAACTGGAGGCTAGGCTGGAAAGCAGCCAGAGTATGAGTGCAGGTCAGAAATGTAGGACCAGAGACAAATCTGAGAACAGAGAACTCAAAAGAATTCTTTGCACATTAAAATTTTCAGAAAGTGTAAATGGTATACCTTCTTGGAAGAGATGCTTCGATCGATCGATAGATAGACAGAGATAGAGAGAGAGAGATAAATAGATAGATAGACAGAGATAGATAGATAGACAGACACAGATAGACCTAGATAGATAGATAGATAGATAGATAGATAGATAGATAGATAGATAGATAGATAGATAGATAGAAGATAGTTCTTGAGAAAAGAAAAATGGCTTAGAGCAGTCTGAGCTATATGAGGTATGCCAAATTCATCAGGCCCAGAGAGGGGAGCATGGGGCTCCAGTCTTGCTCTGCCTTGAACCCACGCCTGGAAGCAATCATTTAAAGGCATTTTGTTCCTGACTAGCCACCTCATCTACTATCTTTATGTTCCTGGAATTTGTGATACACAGAACGGTGTGTAGCCAATCAATAGCTTACGTTATTTTCATGGAAATTCTTGGCAAACAACTCAGGAACTTCCTCTTCCTCTTCTTTTCCTTTAAAAACCTACTTGTACCTGCTGCTAACCAGAGCACATACTAAGGGCAACTTGAAACTATGCTCTTGGGTTGCAGTCCTCAAGCTTGGCCCAAGTAAATGCTCTACTTATATTAAGTTGGCCTCAGTTGTTTTTTCCTTTAGGTTCACATTCTCATCGAACTGTAGGAACAAATGAGGTTGTTAATATTAATTCCAAAACTACAAGGTTCTTTGCTCCTCTTACTCACATAGGAACTCAGTCTTCTCCTCCCAAAGTCCCCTTGGGCCATTTTTCGGGACTGGAAGAATTCTCACATGCTCGGGGACAAATGTGCTCACTGTGGCCTGCTCTATCTTCCTTATCAAGATGCCTCACCTACCTGAGCCTCAGTGGCTGAAGACACCTTAGCAGGTTCTCCCTGCTGCTGCCTCCTCCCAACCCATACCCAGCAGAGGTGCTTTTTGCTATGCTCCTTAGCAGAGTATGTTTAGGGTGGAATGTGGGGTCAGAGGAGAGAACAGCCCTTATCCATCTAGAGTCTTTTATGATCTAGGTCCTCTTATTTCTCTTCCTAACCTCAGTCTGCTGAGGTTCAAAACATGTCACCCCAGGCTGGGTTGGGGAGAGGGAGAGGAAGATACATAACCAGCTACCTGCTCCTTGTCCTTGATGCTTTATCTCTGGTCACTCAAGAACAAATATTAACCAGTCATTGTAGTAAATGGAATGGAAAACTAACTCCAATTGTCCGCCCCTCTCTGTCTCTACGCCCTTTACAATGGGACACTGAGCTCCTCCTATTAAGAAGTAGAAGCTCTCCTTGTCCCTTTAATCTGCGCTGGGCCATGACTGGCTTTGATCAGCTGGATGTGGCTGAAATGATGGGATGTCCATTTTAAGCTGCACCTCCAGAGGCCTTGAGCTGTTCCACTCACTCTTGTGGCTCCTCTGCCATACCCTGAGAAGAGCCTGGTTAGACTACCAGCTCATGAAGTACGGCCTCAGCCAACAGCTAGCCCCCAGTCATCCCCCTGCCCAGAAAAGCCCAGATGCATGGCTCTGCCAAGCCCTGTGTAGATGACCTGCTTTTACATGAGTGAGGTCAGGGGACACCTGAAGATCCACCCAGCTAAACTATAGATTTTTGAACCAAGTAAAGTCTGTGTCATTTGAAGCCACTGGGTTTTCTGTTTGTTACACAGTATTATTGTGACAAAGGATAAATGATACCAACCTATTTCTGACCTCCAAAATCAAGGCTTTTTGCACATTCAAACACTCCTCTGAGAAGCTCAACAAATAGCCAAATTCTAATTCTCAGTCTGGATTCAGCCAGGATCCCCTGCTGCACTTACAACAGCCCTGCAGCAGACGGGAGCAAGATGAAAGGATTTTAATTCAGCAGATGTCCAGGAGGTCTGAGGGAAAGCTAGTCAGCGCACTGGGAATGGCACACATGAAGAGTTTGGGGATAGGAGTGCCCTACCAATCTATAATTCATATACAAAGATCACAGTAGGCTTTGTGTGACAGCATTTCTTGTGGAAACTGGCAAGGGAGACCAATTTCCCCAGTTTGGACTCAGTTGGGACTGAAATGAAACAAAGAGCAGCAAGAAAAATGAGGCAGGAATCACAGAGAAGACATTGAGCTGCCCCAAGTCCTAGAACTGTGGCTCTGGACAAGTTTATCTAAAATCTCTGAGGGCAGAGAAGCCCCCGCAAGTGGGAATTTGAGTCACGTATTATTAACTTCAGCCTATATCCTGTCTCTAAATTTCTTTTAAAAAGAATAGAGGGGCCGGGTGCGGTGGCTCAAGCCTGTAATCCCAGCACTTTGGGAGGCTGAGAC